GTATTATTTTCTTACAACTAAAGGAAATGCTCAAATTGTTTGCCGTCTGCACTAATAAAAGTTCTGTATCGTCGCAGAAAAGATCTTTTTACTACTTGTGCAAATGTCTTTGCATTTATTTCTTCTGCTGCTGTATAAATATTGTGGCCCAGTTCGGCAAGATTTTCAATCGGCTTTTAATACACCGTTTCTTTTATGCAAACCTAATCAAAAAATAAAGGGAATTTAGGCCCAGAGAATGAGGAGGCCACGTAATCGAACCAAGATGCCCAATCCATCTTTCTGGCTATTCTGTATGCAATCCCGTACAGGACAATCATAATGAGCTGGGCAACCATCTTGTTGAAACCACATTTCTCTGTAGATATTGAGTGGCACATCTTCTAACAAAGTTGTTAAATTATTTTGGAGGAAATACAAATAACATACGAAAGTATGAATTTTTTAAATAACGCGTTTTTTGCAGAAAAAGAGGCCATAATATTTTTTAGGAAAAGAAAAATGGCAAGTGTTATACCATTTTGGAATCTTGACTAAACAAGCCATCTTTTAAAATAACTTGCCAAGGGTGTTATACTACTCCTTTGTTTAGAAATCGTGTGTCAAACTAAATAGACATAAATTCTTTCAACCTTAACTCAATCAAACTAATAATTTTTTTTACAAAACTAACGGCTTTTGTTGTTTGATTTGTAACTGCTATAGTAGCATGGTTCATAAGGAATACATTATTAAAAAAATCACTATTAAATTGCGAACATTTCTGACCGTAATATCTAAAGATATGACGTACGGGAACGATTTTTAACATTTTCGAAAATATGTCTATTACCACTTAACTAAGAGAGATAGAATTTATTTCTTATTTTTACCCGAACAGGTATTAGTTGGCCTCTTGACGTTGAGTTTCGGGACACCTGTATGTACAATACTATTTTTCCATTTTGATATATTCATATATCTTACAATTGTTTTCGTTACTACCTATTATTTTTTGTATATTACTACATTTGTATTTTTTTTTTCTTTTTGTATTCCTGTAATTGGGTGGTGATCTGTTGGAATAAAGCATTTATTATTATCTTAACCTTCGAGCGGGCGCGCTGTCATAAAACCTATGACAATTTTCGTTTTTATAATATATCTCCTAATATTATACATTTGAAAGGATTTAACGCTAAAGTATTCATGTAATATGTATTTATGTTGTATTTAGAACATGATGAAAAAAAAAATGTAAAAGAAAATATCGCTGCCCCAGGAGAATATGGACGTAACTGCAAATCGGTAAATTTTACAGGAGACGCAAAAATCGTAATCATTTTTTTTAATTTGTGTGTTTCTAACAGTTTAATTGGCTAATTGTCATCAATAAATGGTTATGGCGTTTTTTTAGCGGATAAATAGCAATTTTTAGCGGATAAATAGCAATATTCTGCGTTAGTTTACGCGAGTAACTAATTTTCTAAAAAATTGCAGTTGCGTCCGTGTTTTACTGGAGCAGCGATATATTGACGTTGTCTTTATGGCAAAAAAAGTTATAAAAGACAATAAAATTACACATTAATTGCTGATTTATAAGGCCTTATTTATATTATGGGATGTATTAAGGGATATAAATGTATTATAAACAAGTTTTGAGTCATACATAAAGGTTTCGGATCGTTTGCACATTTTTGAAAAATACAGGTCCGTAATGACAATTTTGTCGGAATCTTCATGTATGTAGCGCTAGTTAGCATAAGAAATCAGTATGTTGCATATTTTTATTGAACTAAAACTAGAACTAACACTAGACCTAGAACTAGAAATATTCGGGCTTAGCAGTCTTGAGAGACGTGCGGCTAAATCCGAATGTTTCTAGTTCTAGATCTAGTGTTAGTTCTGGTTTTACACTAGCACTATCTAGACGAAAACTCAAGATTGTCATACGGACGTCACCTTTTTCCAAGCAAAACTTTTCCTCTGCAAAACTACCCAATACTAATAATATATACAGGGTGTCCGGTATCTTCCGCATCAGAGCATTATAGGGTTGTAGGATGCATTATTCTGAAGCGATTTTTCTAATAAAATTTTTCCGAAATGTTTATAATAACCGCACGGGAATGGTTTTAGATCCACCAATCAGGAGTCGCCTTCGGAGATCATAAATCACAATCAAACAGTCGGCCACACCCCACCGGTGGGCTAATATTTGACCCACACCCTTCTAGTTTTTGTTATGGAAGTAACACTAGACCTAGAACTAGAAGCATTCGGGTTTAGCCGTTAGTCTTTTAAGACGGCTAAACCCGAATGATTCTAGTTCTAGGTCTTGTGTTAGTTCTAGTAATAATGCAAAACTAGCTATTTTTAAGGATATTGACGGATCTTTAATTTTCAATCGAAAATCATTCCGGTTTAGCCGTCTTAAAAGATTAACGGCTAAACCCGAAACTTTCTAGTTCTAGGTCTAGTGTTAGTTCTAGTTTTAGTTATGGAAGTAACATTAGACCTAGAACTAGAAACATTCAGGTTTAGCCGTTAATCTTTTAAGACGGCTAAACCCGAATGATTCTAGTTCTAGGTCTTGTGTTAGTTCTAGTGATAGTGCAAAACTAGAACTAACATTAGACCTAGAACTAGAAACATTCGGGTTTAGCCGTTAATCTTTTAAGACGGCTAAACCGGAATGATTTTCGATTGAAAATTAAAGATCCGTCAATATCCTTAAAAATCGATGATTTCTTTTTAACCNTCACTGGAAGTAACATTAGACCTAGAACTAGAAACATTCGGGTTTAGCCGTTAATCTTTTAAGACGGCTAAACCGGAATGATTTTCGATTGAAAATTAAAGATCCGTCAATATCCTTAAAAATCGATGATTTCTTTTTAATCGATGTGAAATTGCCTGAAAAACACGTTAAAAATAAAAATGATTGTCGGAAAAGTGTCAAAGTGACCGAAAAATCACTTCCAAATTTCAACGTGACGTCACGTTTTGTGACGTCACGTATTCACGACGTATTTTTCACAACAGTACGGTTAACACTGGTCCAAAACAATGTTTTTTCCGCATCTACGCACAGAACACGAATAAAGTAAGTAAAAATTAAATCATTTTGTCAAATTTAATGAAAAAATTAACAACTTGTTAGAATTATTTGTTACTTCGGTGTTCGACGCATAACGACTAAAACGTGCTTATTTACCATCTACCCGACATTTGAGAATCTCAAAATCTAATTCCTATACAAAATTCTGAAATAAATCAATATATTAGGTGGATCCGAATGTAACGTTTTTTTTCAACAAGACCATACCAATATTTGACCCACACCCTTCTAGTTTTTGTTATGGAAGTAACACTAGACCTAGAATTAGAAGCATTTGGGTTTAGCCGTTAGTCTTTTAAGACGGCTAAACCCGAATGATTCTAGTTTTAGGTCTTGTGTTAGTTCTAGTTTTGCACTATCACTAGAACTAACACAAGATGTAAAACTAGAATCATTCGGATTTAGCCGCACGTCTTTCAAGACGGCTAAACCTAAAAATAAATAATTTTCAATATCTTTGTGTTATTTATTTAGTACATTTTTATTCCAAATACAACAGACAATAATTTCATCATAAACATAAATCACGATTTCCCCGTAAACCTTATTTAATAAATTATTTATTGATAATTTCTTTGTCTTTTATTTACTATTATTCAATAAATTACCTGCTATAAATATGTGAGAAATAAACTCGTGCGAAACTAATTTTCGAACGGCACGGCGGACCGGCGGGGGTGTGTCTTTCGGCTTTTACGAGCTCCCCATTGGTGGATCTAAAACCGTTCCCGTGCGGTTATTATAAACATTTCGGAAAAATTTTATTAGAAAAATCGCTTCAGAATAATGCATTCTACAACCCTATAATGCTCTGATGCGGAAGATACCGGACACCCTGTATATATTATATATATATATATATATTATTTATATACATAGCCTGTACTAATAAGCTATGTTGCATTTTATTTGGGACAGTGCAAGTGCACAGTAGTTTTGTAACTATGGTTACTTGCATTCGTATATTGCGACTTGTATGAAATTCCCGGTATGTATTCTGTAAATGTTGTTAGATTCAAAAATTAACCGATTTAGTTTTATGTTTTTAACAATTGTTTAATATAAATTAAATATTTTTACTCTAGCAAAATTAATTGTTTTGTTAAAAATAACGTAATACTTATTAATACGGACCTGATGTAATAAAATTTATGACACGCGCCCGCTCGTGTTATAAAATCGGGCGTGTCCGCTCGAAGGTTAAGACGATGTCCATTTAGCGTCGTTAGTGGCAGGATTACCATATTTGATAGAATATTTTTGACGAATGACGACCTTTAATGTATCTATCAAGGAACTTATTTACAAAGGCATTGGCACCCTCACCAATTAACTCTGCTAGATCATGAACGAGCAAACAATTTCGTCTGGAATGAATTTCAGATTCCAGACGTTTATCAAGATTAGAAAGTTTTTATCTCGTTGAAGTTTTCGGCCGCTGCTTATCGAGCGAATTTCGAACCAAACAAACTTCACAAACATTACTTTAAAGACTGGTAGCACCTCAGAATTAGTTTCCTCCATTTCGTCGAAATAATCGCCGAAATAAATTTCAGTAAATTGCCATCATGCAGTGCAAGAATGAAAATTATCAACTAAGAACAACCGCGCAATGTGTGATACTAAATCAGAACTAGTGTAGTTCTAGCGCCATATTTTCACCCCTAAAATAATAAATGGGGTAAAAATGTGACCAAACTATTTATGACACTCCTCACATCTCAGAGTGAACAAAGCTAATCTGAAAAGGAAATGTCCTAAATCCTTATATAGCTTCAAATTATAACAAATAACATATCTAATAAAAACTGAATAATTAATTTGTTATAAATTGTTTTGTACAATGCCAAGTTTGAAAGAGTTTCAATTAAATTTTTTTCAAAATTAAATTTTCCCTTACATATTAAAAGGTGCTGTAAGATAAAAAGCACTACTTTGTGTACTAGCGTGATGTCTCACGTGTACAGTTAATCCTGGTGATTGGCGAAGTTTCGATAACAACCAAAGTAACGAAGAATCCTCGGTGTTTGGCGGAAAAACAACGACTACATCGCAATTTGGAGTCGAAACCCTTTTAAGCCATAGCCTTTTCGGTGCCAAAAAGTGTCTGGCACAAGGAATTTTTCGTTTTATTAATTCCGATGCTACAAAAAAAATCATCCCTTTATGCAACTTTTATATAAAAGAATATGATTTGATGAAAAATTATTTTATAAATTTCCTTTTACCTTGCTCGAAAGTATCTTGAGCACACTCAACAAATTTCCTCCTTCTCGTCTGAGTTTCATCATTTTCCTTTAAATCGGTATCACCACATTCACCACCACTAACTTCCTCGGTAGCCATAATTTTCCCGACGTTTTTTTCTTTTTTTTAACACGGTCTTACACTCGTTTTCTTAAAAACGGCCGCGAATCAATGAACACCTAATGTTAGGTAACAGGTTTGCTGTCCCCCACTGTTTGTGTCAGTGTGTGCGTGTTCGACGCCTACCCTCTTTCAGAGTAGCAGCCATCTTTGTCCTCGACATTCCCCTTCTGTAAACATTAGGGGGTTGAACATTTTTAGAACCGCTGTAATCGCATAACCAACTCGCTCTTATACGCAATAATATCGAACCTTTCTCTTTTACTCTTGCATTTTACTCAATTCCGCGCCGTTTCAAACTGTGATCGGGTCGCCGATTTCCGTCGTGCATTTTCCTCTCGCACGCTATTCCATTAATATTGATTCCAATCAAAATTTATGTATGCCATAGAGAATTATTTAAATGTATTTATAACCTTTAAAGGGTGAGTTTAATTGATATATTCGTGGGAAAACCCCGGATGAGTTTTAATTGAAAATTCGAATGTATGGAGTTTATGTAATTCCTAGTTATTTAAATGAAATTCAATTTAATGGAAAACCGTCTCGTAAACTATATTTGACCATTTGGGACAAATTCAGGAATCATATCTCACTCCTTAGACTTTTGAAATGTAGTACACTAATCTAGAAGAAAATTTTGGAAACTTTAATCGTTAAAATTAAGATAAAATACAGATAAAATACCTTTTAAGCAGCTTTAATCTATAATAAAAATTAAACACAAAACTAAAAGACAAAAAAATGGTACTGAAATAAAAATAGGAATGAAAGTAATTTGGTTATTTTAAAATTGAAATAAATCGAAATAAACACGAAAGATTGACTAAAATGTATTTCAATAATAAAGTGTCATCTAGTGGATAATAGATGAATCACTCAAAATAACATTGCTGTGAATTTTATCGATTTCATGTTGGTAGTTTTAACCTTTGTTTATAGATTATACATCTCTTATACAAATATCGGTTATTTTCAGGGCACAGGGTGTTGAAAGTTAAATTGTTATTTCGAAATTTCTTGATAATTAGAAACATTTGAGAGAACTAGAAACATTCGGATTTAGCCGCACGTCACTCAAGACGGCTAAACCCGAATGATTCTAGTTCTAGGTCTTGTGTTAGTTTCAGTGATAGTACTAGTGTTAGTTCTAGTTCTAGTAAAAATATACAACATAATAATATCTTATGCTAACTGCCATTAGAACTAACACTAGACCGAGAACTAGAAACATTCGGGTTTAGCCGCACGTCTCTCAAGACGGCTAAACCCGAATGATTCTAGTTCTAGGTCTTGTGTTAGTTTCAATGATAGTACTAGTGTAAAACTAGAACTAACACTAGACCTAGAACTAGAAAATATCGGGTTTAGCCGTGCGTCCCCTCAGACGCACGGCTAAACCCGATATTTTCTAATTCTAGGTCTAGTGTTAGTTCTAGTTTTATTTCAATAAAAATATACGACATAATAATATCTTATACTAACTGCACTAGAACTAACATTAGACCGAGAACTAGAAACATTCGGATTTAGCCGCACGTCTCTCAAGACGGCTAAACCCGAATGATTCTAGTTCTAGGTCTTGTGTTAGTTTCAGTGATAGTACTAGTGTTAGTTCTAGTTCTAGTTCAATAAAAATATACAACATAATAATATCTTATGCTAACTGCCACTAGAACGAGAATTAGAAACGTTCGGATTTAGCCGCACGTCTCTCAAGACGGCTAAACCCGAATGATTCTAGTTATAGGTCTTGTGTTAGTTCTAGTGATAGTGTAAAACTAGAAGAATGACTAGTAGAATGGAAGCTAGAATTCAAAATGATATAAAAGTAAACTAATATTTTATATAAAGTGGTTATGTTAAACCTCTTTATACCCAATTCTCTTATCATGAGCCTTGTGGTGTATTGAAATAGTCTTTAAGCTGATTGCATAGGATTGATTGTCGGCAAATACATAAGAATATTTTACGCAAAGAACAGTGGATCCTTATTTTATAAATAAGAATTATTTCGAACCTTTCCGAACCACATCTATACCAAATTATTCTTACACCCAAACCAAACCCAACCAAAATTGTGGTGAGGCCGCCTCTGAACGGTCTCGACCTTTGGTAATACGGCTGCCACCAGAAACAGTATTTCGCGCTTCCTAATTCTTAGTCTGAAGGACTCCTAATTGACCTTATAATCAACCAAAACTAAGTAACAAGCGCGCGGTCACTATTTCAGAACCGTGGGTTCTTGCACTAAGGCTCTGTCAGGAAAAGGGAAATCAAAAGACAAGTGTTCTAACCACACTCAAACTATATTAACAAGTAATAAAAATGAATTGACATTAACAAAATGGATCTTAAAATCTACCTACGTTTATTTATGACCCGACGTTACTTAACAAAAGAGATATTTCTGAACCCAACCCCGACAGCTAATTCACGTTGACGATAGGTGATAACGAAAACTGGCAAACAAACTTACTCAGGACTTATATTCCGATTCGGTGGTTCGTCGATGGATCGCAAACCTGGACCCTCTTTGGTGGCTTCTCGGAATTTAACCGGGAAGGTTCCAACGCCACACTAACACCAAATCGTCAATAGGAACACAAATTACCGACACGACACGGATGCCTAAAGTGCAAAGAATGTTTACAAATGAAACTAAGTCACAGTTCTCGATATGCGACGAAACTTAGAATTGGTGTTAAAACGAATTCTAAGTTGCTGTCTAATGGAGCGCTGACGACGTTTCGACTCAAAAATCTCTTAGGTTCGTTGTGATTGAATTCTAAATTCTTGTCCTTTTTTCTCCAAAAATAGGTCTTAAGTCCTCGGGTGTTGGAGGGGTGCAAAAACCTTCTTGAGGCGTTCCTATCGCCTGGATGTCCCCGACACCTGGGGCCAATCCAAAATACGGGGCGGATGTTTTACAATAATTTTCTGAGCCAATGAGGAAATTTGGGGAAGGGAACAATTTTTGACCGCGGGGCCAGAAGATAACATCCACCACTAACTAATTCCAAAAATCATCACGTAAATCCCAAACCATGGGACCCATCCACTTTACGTATTTCTAACGCCTATTTTTAACGACTTTTTCGTTATCTACATTTCCCCATAAATTTGCTGACACGTTAATCTTTAACCCAAAATTTATTTCGACGTCTGGGAACCATCCCGGACGTCGGTCGTAAACGCGAGACATGATTTTTGGCTCTCAAAAGAAAAAGGTTAAAAAAACCTTTAAACAATTCCCGAATTATTACAAAATTCCCCAAACTAAACCAAGCCCATCTAATCCACAACCAACTCAGACAGTAACCATTCGTATACGATAACTCAAAAATGAAACGAGGCAATTTAGGGGGAAAAAGATCAGTTCGGAAGTAGATACATCTATTGAAATATTCAGTATGTTGTCGATTTTCTACGTTCCAACTGAAAATGTAACTGCTGAAATTAATTGTGTTCACATGAAATTAAATTGACCTTGCAACTAAATGTTCTAAATGATATATAGGATTTCGACAAGTCTAGAAACATGAATTTCGTCTTGAAAACTCGATGTTTTGTCTAAATTTGACATAAGACTAAAATGGTGTTCAAATCCAACTCAAGACTTAGGTTGGCAATGGTTAGAGTTCGATATTTCATTTCAAGTAAACCGAATGCATTTCAGATTTAAGAGTGTCTATTCACTTAACTAACCCATTCTAACACTTCCCAGTGCAAATGTTATAGTCTCCAATAGTTAGTTATAATTAATCTCCAAAAAGACTGCAGATTTTCTTTTAAGCGCAGAATCAGATATTGACAGATACCAGCTGAAGACTTAGCATGTATGTGCTCCAGAACAGTTTAGTCTCGATTTTGATTAATCTTAGAACATGAATCTAAATTTTGTCTCAACTAGATAATAGGTATTGTGTTGTTTAGCTTGTGCGTGTATGTTTTTACACAATTTAAAATAATTTAACTATAAATTTGGGTTTCTTTAAATTTGTGAGACTCTTGTTAAACTCAGGGTTTCGGGCAAGTTCAGGTTCAAAAGAAACTAATCAGGTTCGACAAAAAATTCATTTAATTAAACACAAAATAAAATTAACTCGTTTTATGAGTAACAAAAAAAAATAAAATTGTTTTCCTAAATTTACTTTAATAACAATGCTTATTTACGAGAGATAACTTTTAAATAAAATAGATAACTGCGGTTATCGACTGAAATATCGATATTAGAGAGAACCCGTTTATTATTTGAGAGAGAGAGAGTAGGATAAAACTCGTTAGAACCGTTCTTAGAAAATAACAAAATGGCCGACGTCTTAAATTGTCATCAAACTCGTTAAATAAAAGTAGTGTTAAATAAATGAACGTTATTCAAGAAAACTAATAAATCTTTACCGACGAGTAAGTATTGATCAAATTTATATGAAACTCTTGTGATTTGTTCTTTGAGTTTGATTCTTTGATTTTTCTTTTTGTAGGTTATGTTAAATAAGAAAATAAAATTATCATCCGACTCACTGCGAAATAGAAAGGATTGGAGTTCAATGTGGTATCTGGATTATGGATTGTCCTCTTGTATTCGAAGTACGATCTAGTTTCTGGGTTTTCTACAGGATTCTTCCTACGGGAATTTTGAACTGCTTGTTCTTCGGTAATAGGGTCTTGGATGATCTCGAAGAAGTATCAGGAGTTCTCGGAATAGGTTGTAGGATGATTTTCTTTTTATTTTATTATCGTAAGTTGATTTGACTTTAAAAAAATTATCTTAAAATTTTGAGGTTATCTCTTAAAATTCAAAATTTCTTCTATCTGACGACGTGGATTCGACGCTGGTCAGACGACGACTCTCTCGTGCTCTGTTCGCGATCTCCTTATATACCCCGGCACTCCAACTGTTTTTTCCTCGTTTCTGATTGGCTCATAGCTTCGCGCCCTTTTCAAAATTCAAATTTCTTGCTTCGAAACTAGCGTCATCTCTTGATTTTTCTCGGAATTAACCTTCAAAATTTAATTCTTTTTTCGTTGATTTCTCCCTTATTCCTTTATAAAACGTAATAAAACTTCGTATTCAAAGTTGTCTTTCCTTGTTTTCAGACATACATTGGAGTACACGTCAAATTTCAACAATGAGTAAAGTTAGAAAAATTCAAATTTAAATCAAGGATTTCTTCCTCAAAATAACGTTAAAACATTAAGGAATGGATGAAAAATGTGCTTTAGGAGCTGAACTATAATAATTGATACTTTTGGAAGCAAACAAAACGGTTTAAGATAAGATTTCTACCAACAAAGAATCTCTCTGTCACAATTTTAAGGTTATGTTCTCACGGTGAACTAAGAGATGTTAAAATTTATCACAGTATTTATCTATATGGAAGTATTGCAAATTAGAATTCTGACAAGCGGCAAGACGCAAATTTCGA